ACCCTCACTGGCACGGGCCTGCGGCCGGGCGACGCCGTCGCCGTTCAACAGTCTTGCGGGGAAGCTGCCGTTTTGGACGGCCTGCCAGCCAGCGGCATTGCGACGGACAGGCTGGGCACCGGAAGCTACACGTTTGGCCCGGGCGAGAACGTCCTCCTCAGCGCGCCCGGGGGTCTACAGCCTTTGCTTCTGCCGGCCAGGGCCCAGCAACTGCAGCTCCGGCACGGACTTCAATGCCAGGATTGGTATCTTCAGAGTGCAAGGACCGATAACTACCACCCAATTCGCCTGCACTATGAACTCGTCCTGCGAAGTGAACCTCGCCGGCATTGGCTTGATGCCACAGGACAAGGTCATCGTGTCGCGCGACTGCTCCAACCTCAGCTACAGCGATCTTCATCCACTGGGTTCCTTCAACGCCGTTGCCAGCACGCCTGATGCCTCTTCCTACTATTTGGGATCATTGGACCTCTCACAGGAAGTTTGGCACGACCTGGAGGTCTGTTGGTGTCCAGCTGGGAGCCAATGCACTGCTGCGCAGCATTTCAGGGCAGCTGCCGGCACACTTGGCCTGAGCTGTCCTTTGGATTCCTACTGGCCCACGGGGGCGGCTGGAGCCCCGGAGCCTTGGGGGAGCTGCGAGGTCTGCCGGGATTTCAGAAGACCCTTGCCGCAGCAGCCGTTGGCAAGGCGTCTTGTGTTTGCAAGACCAAAAGCGAGGATGATTTGGACTTCCAGGAGACCCAAGACGGCAACTGCGGCTGCCAGGACTCCTTCTTCTGGAACGAGGCTGAGTCCAGATGCCAGGCATGCACGGATGGGCAGAACTGCCAGTGGAACAACGTCTTCGCGAACAGCTTGCACCCGCCTGAGCTCCAACCCGGCTTTTGGGCAGAGCCAGCAGCCGAGCCCTTCAGAGGCCACTCGGTGTACAGGTGCTTCAACACCATCACCTGCCCTTCCACCAACAGTGCTTGTGCCCCGGGCCGCCACGGCAAAGCTTGCAGCCTGTGCCTCCCTGGCCACTTCGGATCGCACGACGAGCCCTGCAGCAGCTGCGGCGACACGACATTTGGAGACAACCGCTTGTTCTTCGCTGCTTTTGCGATCCCGGGAGTGCTGTGCGTCACTCTGCTCGCACACATCCTGTTCCAGCTCACTTCGGGGCACAGTTCATGTGCCTCGCTGGGAGCCTCCCACTTCCGAACTGCACTTGGCTAGGCCCTTAAGGGAGTGAACGGAGCAGTCGGAATGCAGTGAATGCAGAGCATATGAATCCACTCCTTCGGCACCGCTTTCCAAGACGATGTCTGAGAGTGACATGTGCGCCCCGCATGCGGCTTACATAGCCTAGGCCAGAACTTCCGCTGCATGCAGCTGATCAGCGTAGCGCACGAGCTGCAGCCAAGAGGGACTGATGCCAAGTCAGCTTGAGAGTCACACTTGAAGGTGACACGGCAGCATCTAAGGTGTCATTCTTTGGTGTCTACTGGCCGACCATACTTACTTCCCTTTGGGATGCGATCCGTGCGTTGACATCAGATTTGGTGCGTATCCCGAGCTGCGTGGCTGTCAAACTCAGCTTGGGCAAGGGGACCAACAGGGTCTGCACAAATTTCTGCTTGCAGGAGTCTTCACAGGGGCAAATGGTTTTTATGAGGGTGTCACGGCCATTAGCGCAGCCTGCAACCGTTTTGGGCGACTGAGGCTTGGGCTGCATGCTGCCTCACACGCCCTTCGCTGAAATGATATGCACCTACGCAATTCCGATTGTTTTGATTTTGTCTGCGCTTGCTTGGCCCTTGCTTAACTGGTTGCTGCGAGAGACGTTGAGCAAAGTCGGCCCTAGTTCGGCGAACATAAACGGGAAATGGGCGGTGAAGATGCTGGACGTGCTGAAGATGGTTGTTTGGGTGTCTGCGCTCTTTTTCAACACCTTGATTCAGAAAGGCTTCTTGGTCTTTACCTGCGTACGGAGCCCCAACGGAGTTCAAACCGTGGTGGTCTACCCTCAAGTCGAGTGCCCCAGTGGCACCTCGGCTCCAAGTTCCGAGTGGCTGGAGTTGCTTCCCTTCGCGATCGTGTATTGTGCCGTGGTCGGCTTCGGCCTGGTCGGGGCTGTGACCCATGGTGCAAGGCAGATGACGCGATGCATGGTGGCATCCAAGATGCAAGACCGAGGGCCTTGGGATTTCCTGGCTACGGAATACAGAGATGCCTACGTCTGGTGGCTGGCAGTGGTGCTGCTCAAAGATTTGTCGGTGAACATTGGTGCAGCAGTTTTCACAAGCATTGGGTCCTGGCAGCTTCTCGCAACTGCCATGATTCAGGGTTTCTATGGCTATGTATGTTGGACACGCCATCC